ATGTTAAGAGTAACAAGAAGGGTTTCTTCAAGTATGTTAGCAACAAGGAGAAAGTCAAGGAAAGTGTGGGCCCCTTACTGAATGAGGGAGGCAACCTAGTGACAGAGGATGTGCAAAAAACCAATGTACTCAATGCTTTTTTTGCCTCTGTCTTCACGAACAAGGTCACCTCCCAGACTATTGCACGGGGCAGCAAAGCATGGGGAGGAGGTGACCATCCCTCTGTGGAGAAAGAAGTGGTTCGGGACTATTTAGAAAAGCTGGACGTGCATAAATCCATGGGGCCGGATGCGTCACATCCGAGAGTGCTAAAGGAGTTGGCGGATGTGATTGCAGAGCCATTGGCCATTATCTTTGAAAACTCATGGCAATCAGGGGAAGTCCCAGACGACTGGAAAAAGGCTAATGTAGTGCCCATCTTTAAAAAAGGGAAGAAAGAGGATCCTGGGAACTAGAGGCCAGTCAGCCTCACCTCAGTCCCTGGAAAAATCATGGAGCAGGTCCTCAAGGAATCAGTTCTGAAGCACTTGGCGGAAAGGAAAGTGATCAGGAACAGTCAGCATGGATTCACCAAGGGCAAGTCATGCTTGACTAATCTAATTGCCTTCTATGACGAGATAACTGGCTCTGTGGATGAGGGGAAAGCGGTGGACGTGTTGTTCCTTGACTTTAGCAAAGCTTTTGACATGGTCTCCTGCAGTATTCTTGCCAGCAAGTTAAGGAAGTATGGGCTGGATGAATGGACTATAAGGTGGATAGAAAGTTAGCTAGATTGTCGGGCTCAATGGGTCGTGATCAATGGCTCCATGTCTAGTTGGCAGCCGGTATCAAGTAGAGTGCCCCAAGGGTCGGTCCTGGGGCCGGTTTTGTTCAATATCTTCATAAATGATCTGGAGGATGGTGTGAATTGCACCCTCAGCAAGTTTGCAGATGACACTAAACTGGGAGGAGAGGTAGATATGCTGGAGGGTAGGGATAGGATACAGAAGGACCTAGACAAATTGGAGGATTGGGCCAAAAGAAATCTGATGAGGCTCAACAAGGACAAGTGCAGAGTCCTGCACTTAGGACGGAAGAATCCCATGCACCGCTATAGACTAGGGACCGAATGGCTCGGCAGCAGTTCTGCAGAAAAGGACCTAGGGGTTACAGTGGACGAGAAGCTGGATATGAGTCAACAGTGTGCCCTTGTTGCCAAGAAGGCCAATGGCATTTTGGGTTGTATAAGTAGGGGCATAGCCAGCAGATCGAGGGACGTGATCATTCCCCTCTATTCGACACTGGTGAGGCCTCATCTGGAGTACTGTGTCCAGTTTTGGGCCCCACACTACAAGAAGGATGTGGAAAAATTGGAAAGAGTCCAGCGGAGGGCAACAAAAATGATTAGGGGACTGGAGCACATGACTTATGAGGAGAGGCTGAGGGAACTGGGGATGTTTAGTCTGTGGAAGAGAAGAATGAGGGGGGATTTGATAGCTGCTTTCAACTACCTGAAAGGGGGTTCCAAAGAGGATGGCTCTAGACTGTTCTCAGTGGTAGCAGATGACAGAACAAGGAGTAATGGTCTCAAGTTGCAGTGGGGAGATTTAGGTTGGATATTAGGAAAAAATTTTTCACTAGGAGAGTAGTGAAGCACTGGAATGCGTTACCTAGGGAGGTGGTGGAATCTCCTTCCTTAGAAGTTTTTTAGGTCAGGCTTGACAAAGCCCTGGCTGGGATGATTTAATTGGGGATCGGTCCTGCTTTGAGCAGGGGGTTGGACTAGATGACCTCCTGAGGTCCCTTCCAACCCGGATATTCTATGATTCTATGAATGTAAACACTATTTTGAATGTTTAAAAACATAAAAATGCTATTTTAAGATCTATTTTTAAAAATACATTATTAAAAATGTACTGTTTTCTTTCCTTGGAGAAGAGAACAGCTGTCAGCTCAAACTATTTAATACTCTGGACAGATGTAAGAGCTCACATCATTACAACTGTTCAAAGAATATTCCCACTGTGTCACTCAAAAACATGGTCTGGTCTTCTTGGATTGAATCTATTTTTTAAAAAAATACTATTATAGGCCAAATTTCTGGCCCACATCTTCACAGTGCTGGATGCCCTCTATAAAACTCACTAATGTCACCACCTCATAGGATCAGGCACAGAGTTTTCACTTTAATTGAAAACAAAATATTCATATCATCACTTTAAATGTATAATCTGTAATATGTATAGTACAGCATGGTAACACACAGCGTATCCAATCCTAGGAGCAGGTCCATTATAAGTACTGTAAGAAAATAAGAAATGCCAGATTGTCTTATTTGACAGATTCATGACAGAGGGATGATATTTTGAAAAATATGCACAAAGAGGGCAGAGGTAAGGTTGTCTGTTCAAATAAATTTAAGAAATTTTACTTTTGAGTGCTTAATTTCTCAATCTTAACACTGAACTATGATCTATGGAAAGAAGCACATTCAACTTCAGTGCAAAATTGAAGCCAGCTTGGGTGTGACCCCCTCCCCCCTGAACTAGCTGAAATGTAATGAGAAAAATATTTCTTCTATTAGAAGACCTGCTCTAGAAGTTACTTTTGCCCAGTTATTAGCAGAAGGCGATATTTGACTTGATCAGTCCATCACAGCTCAAAAGGAGGGCCTAAACTTCACAAAATACTGTTTCCATGGCTGTAGTTTCAGTAAGAAAACATCTTGTGGTAGGAAATATTACTGGAGGTGTTGACTTCATCAGCACACTGAATCTGGTAGTTTATTTCTTCTTTCTTGACATTTGCAGTTTACTTTCCTTTCTTTAACATTGTTGAGAGGTTATCTAACTAAAATAGTTTGTGTACAAACTAAGTACTGGAGAAACAGGCAGAGTAAGGTACAGAACTGCTAGATGAATGTGTTTGCTGGACAATGTATAATTTCATAGTTCTACATTGCTTAAGAAAATGATATTCAGAGTGGGTAGAAGGGAATGGAATATAAAGTGTTGTAGGGATATTCATATTTTAAAACCAAATTTTGGTTTGGTTAAAAAGACAGTGAGAGGCAGGGCAGTGAGAATAATGTAATGTTTATGGAAATGTTTTCCATGATTTTTGGAGAGTACGAGGAGCAGGAGAAGCAAGAGAGACAGATGGTTTAATGAAAACATTTCTCTGCAAACCTAGGTGGAGAGAAAGATACAAAGAACGTGAAATTGACCAGATCTAGTTTTGCTGTCCAAACTGAATAAAGTGCAAAAAGCAAACACAATATAAAGTAGAATGAAGAAATTAAAAAAAAACCCACTTTTTAAAATCGAATGGGTTGCTGGGTAGTTTTTTAATACTGATTTTTATCTGAACAATGCTTCTTTGGATTTCCAGTACATCTGGAACTGGCAAGATTTGCAATTGCTGAAGTTATTACTATTGCCACTACAAAGCCCATATGTATGTGTCAGCCCAACATATTGTTTGACCCTCAGGTAAATATTTCATTTCCTTGTATGATAAATCCTTCCAAGGACTGTGCGTTCTGATGTACAGTTGGACTTGATGCCAAAACTCAGGGACATTTTAATGTTAAAGGGCACAGTAAGCTGCCTGCACCTTCCCTTCTTGCACACACACCCACCCCTCACATGCACGCGCTTGAATGAAACCTTCCACTACAGCCAGGAAGTCTGCAGGGAAAAAGAGTCTGAAGAAAGACTCCAGGATGCAGTATCATTTTCAGAAGTGTTTATTCTGGGAGGAAAACTGATAGAAAGGGACAGTCCATGAAATACATGCTGTTTCTGGTGTCAAGATGAACTCCGGTGTATCTGGATTCTGATACGGCTGCACTGGATGCTTCAGTTTTGCATGTGAAGCAACGTTACTAAGGGATGCAGCTGCACCAGTCAATTCCTATTTCTGCAGCTTCTGTGCTATGCTAGCCTATCTACTGTAATCTCCACTGGTACAGATGAGACAAAACTGTTTAAAAATAAATTTCCCCAGAAAAGAAGAAACAGAATATAAATGAAATACCACCACCATAACTAAAATTATGAAAAGGTTTTGTCCCTGTAGTGATTGGGTGCTTAAATGCATTAATAAAAGGCTCTAAATATGGAATAAGACATAATAAAATAAGGGCCATGATATAAATAATTATTTGAAAGGTCTGTTGATTTGTCCTATGAAAGCACAAGATGGCAGCATTAGCAGTGCCCCAGAACAAAGTAAAGGTTTCTGGAATTTTGTAGGCCTCTCTAATCACGTAGGCCTCTTATCAGAGGAGGTAGAACAGTTTATGCACTTAATAAACTTCCCAAAAGAGAGAAGGAACCAAAGACGCTAATCTGAGGAAAAGCACAACTTGGTGCAAACGCACACAGTGGCATTCACTATGGTACAAGGGCTCAGGAGAGCCACTCAGCACTGTTTAAGCTTCCTAGTGCAGCTGTGCTTGTGGAGTGAACAGTAGAGCATAGGGCAGAGGAAGAAGAGAGTGCCAGAAAAGGGTCGGTGTGGAGGCCATGCATAAGTCTGCATGGAGGATGGTGATGGGCAAGGGACAGCATGGGAAAGCCAGCTGATGCCACGGTGAGAGGCAACTGTATAAGACAGAGAAAAGTATGTAAGCACAAAAGGCTCAATCCAAAGCTCACCAAAGTCAAAGGAATGACTTCTGTCCATGTCAATGGGCCTTGGCTCAGGACCCATTGTGGGGTACCTCAAACAACTGGATATTGACCCAACACGTACTGCAGTTCTACATAGAAGTATCCTAGAGCACTAAGCCAAACTATGGGATAGATTAATATGGGCTCTTTTGCATTGAATAGGGGTTTACTTTAAATTTCCATCCTATTCAATTGTATGATTCATTCACTTCCAGACTGTAATAGCACTACTTCCCCCCAAATTCTCTCTTCTCTCTGCAATTCCTCTTGTATTTTTCTTATACTTCTCACTAACAACTGTTTAGTAAAATATCTACATAAATAAAACATGGAAAACCAGCTCACCTATGACGGATACACATCCTAATGGAGCTATAAGGGCGGCTGGAGCAAATCCATAAGCTGCAGCATTCCCCAGCTCTCCGAGCCCCATGAGGATAATTCCACACCACCACAGCTTGCTTGTGTAATAGGGCTTTTCATTTGCTTGGCATGCCAGTCGGAGATGAGCATATTTCTGGAAGTTAATTATTAGGAACAGATGAAAAAGAAGCTTTCATTGTGTTAATACATAGAATGAAATTTGAATAATTAGGGGGCCTGTCAACTGCAAATTCCAGGTATGTCAAGATTTCCTCTTTTTTTAAAATTAGTTTCAGTTTGATGTTGCAGACATAGTACTTTGTACTAATACTGTGCTACTTTGGCTTGATGCTTCCTTAACCAAATACCCTGGTTTGAAATGATGAAAAAGCTACCCCATGAAATAAATCCACCCGAAAAAATATCAAGGAACTCTGAAGTTAATATATAGTCTAGAAGGCTAACACTACAACCCTCTGGTGTTATTTCAAAGGGCTTTTCAGGAAGAAAAAAATTTTTTCCCAGGGTAGCCTAAGTGGCAATGCAATTGTATGAAGCTGAAGCCACAAACCAGGTGAAGTTGGCCATAGAGGAATGTGCTCCTTCTAGCTTATCCATGAAGCGGCTTCAAAGACAGTTTAAGAATAAAACTGTGTGCAACTAAGCATGGCTAGTATCAGGAGGAACTGGCATTCCCTTTCACACAAAACGGGGCCTAATTCTGCTTGCCTAACTCACGCATGACTTTAGTAGGATTACACACATTAGTGAAGCAAGCAGGATTTGGGCCATGATCACCTGCTATACAAAAAAACAAACAAAAAGACCCTAGCACATTATAAAGCATAATCTGGGTTGGCTTAGTCTCAGTGCAAGAAAGTTTGTCAACACTGTCTATGTTCCAAATGTCTTAATTTCTATTTCAACAGTACAGTATAACATAAGCAAATAACAGTTTGTCAACCCCTTTTTCTACAGGGCAGAAGTACTATTTTCTTGCACGGTGATTGTTTCCTATTTAGTTTTACACCTAGAATTGTGCTGTGACCGAATATTTTGATGACCTTGGTCATTCAGGGCTTCTAAAATAGAGTTCCGGCTGCCTGAAATCACTAAAAGGAGTGAGCAGGTGATAGTCAAGAATGTATAATTATTGGGTGGATATGCAGTTTTCACTATGCTAGTCTTGCTAGTGCATGATACTCTGCCTATCATGCGGCCTAATATTATCTCAGTTTCTCCCATCAGTCTGTATCCATCTGTTGTCTCTTGTCTTAGATTATAAACTCTTTGGAGCAGGAACCATTTTTTTGTTCTGTGTTTGTACATCATCTAGCACAATAGGTCCTGGTCTATGACTAAGGCTCCTAGGTACTATGTTACTGCAAATACATACATAAATAATAATCTATTTGGTCTCACATACAGAGCCAAATTTCTCACCAGCCCTTCTGCACAGTGTAAGAAGTAGTAACCAAGAGGGCTGGTGTTACAGCTCTACCTAGACCTGGTTGGAACAATGCCTTTTTCCTTGTGGAAAATTTCAGTTTTTTGGCAAAAAATCTAAAACCAATCTAAAACCTTTTGATTTGGAAATACTGAGGCAGTGCCTCATGGGAGTTGTAGTTCAGATGTCCCGTTCTCCTCTAGAGGCTGGGCTCTCTGGTCAGATGACATCTCCCATGATGCACCAGGTTCTTGCCTCTGGATGCGGGGAGGGGGTGCACCATGGCAGTTGCACGGCTGTCGTGCTCCCTGTGGAAGGAAGTCCAACAGGGGGAGTCCCGGCCATGAAGCGGAATGGGAGGATGAGGCAGCTGAAGTGGCATTTCAGAATCTCATGAGGCATTCTCATGAGGCCCCGGAGTGGCATTTCAGAATCAACATATTTTGGTTTTTGTCTGAAATATTTCAATTTTCAGGCTTCAGTTTAAAAAAATAATCCACAGAAAACTGACACTTTGGGTTAGAAATTCCATTTAGTCAAAAACCTAATTTTCTATTGAAAAACGATTTAGAAGGAAAATTTCTGATGAGCTCTAACTGTACCCTCATTCTGTTCCCTCACCCCCAAAAACCCACATGGAGGCCCCGAGAAGAATTCTAGAGTGCATGAAGAGACACCTTCCATGTATGTGATCATACAACCTCAATCCACTGGCAGCTCTTACACATCCTCCTCTGTTCAGATTGCTCATGCTCTAAGCATAAGTATTTTGCCCACATGAGAATTCTGAGGGCATTTCCAATGCAACCGAAATGCAGTCACCCGTCTGTACTGACTTTGGTGTGTTTGTTTGCAGACTGCTTTTTTATTTGGGGCCCAATGGAGGGGGTGAAGGGAACACAGGGAAAAGGAGTCATTTGGTGGGTGGGATAGTGAAGAGTAACGAAGTTTGGCCTCTATCCATTAATATTAATAGGAAAATAAATGTCGGGGTTTAAAGAAGTCAGGTGTCCATTTAATAAACATCTGTTTCATTACTGAAGGGGACAATGCCATTTTTATAGGGCAATAGAAGTTTCTGCTGCAATTGGTTATCCGTGGGGAGAGGGAGTAAGTCTTCATTAAGTTTGTACACACTGTTTAAAGAAAGGAAGATGCCTCAGTTCAAATTCAGCCCAGGTTGTTAATGAATAAAAGTTAATGCTTGTTTGCAGGCCAGTGTATTCTCAGGGTGCTTCCTAGTGAAGGTCCACCTTAGAAAAAACACTTTAAGCAAGACTAGGGACAGAAACTCTGAATTACCTCTTCACCCTGACCTTGATCAAACTTCCACTGTAGTCAATGAGAGAGATTTTCCATTAGAGTTGGATCTGCCCCCATTAGAGGAGATCCTAGTCTCCAACCCAAAATTGAGGAACACTGGCTGTGTCTTAGAACAATGGCAAATTACAAGGGGTCTGCGGATACACAGAATACTTCTGTTTCTGGGGCTGTCAATCTAGAACCATTCAAAAGCACTAAATCCACTTAAGAAAATAGACGTGGGCTGGTGAAGAAGTTCCCTGGTTGAATAAAAAGGTGTATTAGTGAATTTTATATTCCACAGACTTTCATGAAAGACTGTGTAAAAGAGATTATGCTCAGAGATAGAATTGCGGTTGCAAGAAATCTCTTTTATTTTTTTTAAATCTTCAAAGCTTCAAACATGGGTTCTGCCCATAAACATTCATTGGTAAGATTACTGAAAATACTTAAAGGGACATTTTCAAGATAAAAAAAATCACAATAAAAATGGTTACTGTTTAACTAGTAGCAATTTTGATTATTAAAACAGAACAGATTTTAAGAATTCACATCGGTGATCCTTACTCATGCCAACAGTCCAACTGCGTTCAAGGGATTACTCTTGAAGGTGAAGTTGCAAGGTCAGGACCACAGTTTGCTTTTTGTCCTTTATGCTATTTATTATTAGCATTTCCTTCAACTTGCACAATGAAACTAGGCTGGCGAGCACTGCTTTCCGCCCCAATCTTGCAAACATTTAAGTAAATGTGTTAATTTATTTACAAGACTAGTTTTATTAAACAGGATTGGGGCCTTTGTTTATTGGCAGCTTCACTTTAGGATTTGCATTCACTAACACACTGGCTCTCAAGCAGTGGCGTATTAATGCCTAGGCCGACAAGGCCTAGGCCTAGGGCGGCAAATTTGCAGGGGCGGCAAATTTATAATAGCAGCCAGAGGCTGCTTCCCCCAGTGCCGGTTCGCGCCCTCCGCCCCCGCCCCAACTCCACCCCTTCCCACCCCCATTCCCTGCCCCTCCCTGCCCCTATTGGTCCCCTTCCTCAAATCCCCGCCCCGGCCCCGCCTCCTCTCCTGAGCACCCTGTGTTCCGCCCTTTCCCCCTCCTTCGCGAAGCTGTTTCGTGCACAAGCACTGGCAGGGAGCAGGAAGAGGCAGGACGCGGCGGCACGCTCAGGGGAGGAGGTGGAGGTGGAGGTGAGCTGGGGCGGGGGAGTTGCTGGGGTGGGGGGAGGCGGCAATTATTTCTGGGCCTAGGGGCAGCAAAATCATTAATCCACCACTGCTCTCAAGGTGAGGGTGACAATCACCACTGGGGTCATGAAGAGGTCCAAGGGTGTAGTGTTTTTATGGCTAGTTGGAGGGAGGAATTCTGAAACTTTCTTCTATTGTAACATGGGGTCACAATATAGACAAGGTAGAGAACCATTGCACTATCACAGAGTTACTGGTTGTGGGGGAGCCTACATTCAGTGAACTATTAAAATGATTATTTAAAAAGTGCTTTAATTAGATAAATAAAACATACATCATTTACTAAAATTTAAATAAATCAAAATAATTAGAAAAAATTATTTCATACCTGGATATTCAAAGAGATACTAATCAGAAAATTTCCAGTGATTGCCAACAAAACACCCAAGAGCTGAGTCTGCAAAATTTAATTAAAAAACAAAGAAAATTAAAACATTGCTACTTATGAATTTATACAGGCATAATAGAACAGAAGGATCCTGCTTACACTTTTGTGAAAGGATAAATCAGGAATAAATTAAATAAAATAAATATAATTGATTTTTTCACTTATTGAATTCATGCCTCACTAACTAAATCAATGAGGACTGTCTCTGTCTGAATACCCATAAAGATAATGAAGATGGTGCATTCTGCCTAGGACATGAGCAGTAAACAACTGTAAACTGAAGGTTATTCCATTGTACAAGTTGTTTTTGCCATCCTTTGAAATTGTAGTATATCCAAAGAAAGGTTGATAGGATTTGAGAAGATGTTATACTGACATGAATTTTTTATACAGCTAAGAATGTTTAACAATTTTATTATATATATATATATATATAATATACACATTGTAAGGAGAGTGGTCACTTTAGATAAGCTATTACCAGCAGGAGAGTGAGTTTGTGTGTGTGGGGGGAGTGAGAAAACCTGGATTTGTGCTGGAAATGGCCCAACTTGATTATCATACACATTGTAAGGAGAGTGGTCACTTTAGATAAGCCATTACCAGCAGGAGAGTGGGGTGGGAGGAGGTATTTTTTCATGCTTTGTGTGTATATAATAAGATCTTCTATACTTTCCACAGTATGCATCCGATGAAGTGAGCTGTAGCTGACGAAAGCTTATGCTCAAATGAATTGGTTAGTCTCTAAGGTGCCACAAGTACTCCTTTTCTTTTTGCGAATACAGACTAACACGGCTGTTACTCTGAAACCTGTCATTATAGAGGCTAGAGGCTAAGTCAACAGCAATCAGACTGTGCACACCACAGTACAGTCATTTGTGTGCTAATGTATTCATCATATGACACAAGATATCCAGCAACACAGGTATCCTGATAATTTCCTTAATGCATTTTGTTATTTCACCACATTCTGTTTGAGTTGGGATGTCTGCTTTCCAATAAGATTAGCAAACTTTACACAAAATTGGGAAATTCAAAAAATGAAAACAGCATACATTATTTGGAAAAAATTATATTTAGGTGCTACTTCAGCAAGCTCAAATGCCAGGCTACACTACAAAGTAACCTGTGTGGGTGCACCATGTTATAACAGTTGTGTCCTGATCATGGTATAACGCAGTTTGGTCTTGGCAGGGTGGAAACCATGTTTCTAGTACCATGTGACACAGTTCAGAGTAACTGAATCTGTATTTCCCCTCTATGGTCCAGCAAGGGCCCCACTCTCAGGCTTCGGGCTCCCAAGCAGTCGTCTTTCTCCCATCTGATTTGGGTACTCCAAGCTGAACAGTTTCCTACCTTCACTTTTCCCTACCCATCAAAAGACAGTCTGTTTAAGCAGGCCTGCTTGCTTTTTCTTCAGAGACTAATAAGGGTAGTTGCTCACAGTTATAAATGACCATACAATTCTACCTAAGTGTGGTGTTTAGATGCTACTTGTAATTATTAGAACTGGGAGCACTGGCTGTTGGGAGTCTGAAAGGACAGGAAACAGGAAGGAGTGGGGGAAAGTTGAGGAGGTGGAGTGAGAGCTACCGAGGGTGCAGCAGCAGCTTGGTAAAGAGGTTTCCAATTTAAAAATAAAGTCCTGTTGAAGTTTGTTAGTACCTTGCCTGGTTGCTACAACACTAAGCAAGCCTATTTTATTCTTAAAAAGGAAAAGCATTTGAGCCAAAACATTAAAAACAACAAAAGAACCTACACGCATGATAATAAACTTACCAGAGATCACCCCTTCCAACATGGGCCCTGGCAGAAGCAGTCCTTCAAAACCTCACCCCCAGGGTTTTCCTGTGGTTTCAAGTTCATCACACTCTTTGCTCAGAACAAGAACACAGGCTTATGGGGCCTCGGTAGGCCAAAGTCCTTCCAACCCTTTGCTAAGGATTGGGGCCCACCATGGACTGAAGGGCCTGTCAGTTGGCTGGATCAGAACAAAAGCCCCGAGTCAGTTATTTATCCCAAAGTCCTGTCTTTGTCTGCAGGTCTCTGAAAAATCCAGTCTGAACTTCTGAAGAGACCCTGAATAAATAATCAGTCAGACAATGGGTCTCCTCCCTAGAGTGAAGACTCAAAAAGGGTAATAACTGGAGAAATTAGATCAGCATGCCCACTCCTTCTAGGCCTGGTCTGCGCTGGGGGTGGGGCGGAATCGATCTAAGTTACGCAACTTCAGCTACATGAATAACATAGTCGAAGTTTTAGAGTAGCAGCCGGGTTAGTCTGTATTCACAAAAAGAAAAGGAGTACTAGTGGCACCTTAGAGACTAACCAATTTATTTGAGCATAAGCTTTCGTGAGCTACAGCTCACTTCATCGGATGCATTCAGACGTACTTAGATCTACTCACTGCAGTGTCTTCACTGCAGTGAGTCAACTGATGATGCTCTCCCTGTGCCTCTCGTGCAGGTGGAGTACAGGAGTCAACAGGAGAGCACTCGGGGGGGGGGGGGGGGAAGGGTCCATTTATTGTGTCTAGATGTGATAAATAGATCTCCGCTGGATTGATCAATGCCTGCCGATCCGGCAGGTGGTATAGACATACCCCTAGAGAAGTTACATACACTCTCACAATAACACAAATGACTGCATTTTTAATGGACCCCAAAGGTATTAAACTTAATATAATAAGGTTTAATTTAAATCAGTAAAGTTTATTCAGGATATTGCTACAGCCCTTTGGTCTTTGTCCAGACTAGAATTTAAGCATGGTGCTAGCATGCTAGCTAACAGGCTAACTCATTTCAGTCTAGCGCAGGCAAGGCAGTGTATACTTTAACACTGTACTGGTTGAGTTAAAGCTTGAACTCAAGCCTACCCTCTCAGGTTATGTCTACACTGAGCTGGTAGGTAGGGTGACCAGGTGTCCGGTTTCTGACTGGAACACCCGGTTGAATAAGGACCCTGGTGGCTCTGGTCAGCACCACCGACCGGGCCATTAAAGGTCCAGTCAGCGGTGCTGCGGCACTAAGGCAGGCTAGTCCCTACCTGTCCTGGCACTGCACTGTGCCCCGGAAGGGGCCAGCAGGTCCGGCTCCTAGCCGGGGGGACCACGGGGCTCTGTGAGCTGCCCCCGGCATTGGGGGGCGGTGCCTGCAGGTGAAAACTGTGCGCGGAGCCTCCTGACCCCCTGCCTACTAGCGCCAGACCTGCTGGCCGCTTTCAGGGCACACGCCACACTACGCCACTGACTAGGAGACACCCAAGGTAAGCCCGCGCCCCAACCCCAAGCCCTCCCCAAACCCAGAGCCCCCTCCTGCACCCTAAAGCCTTCATCCCCAGCCCAGAGCCCATACCCCCTCTTGCACTCCAAGCCCCTGCCCCAGCCCAGTGAAAGTGAGTGAGGGTGGGAGGACAGCGAGCCACTAAGGGAGGGGCAATGTAGTGAGTGGGGGGGGCAAGGCCTCGGGGAAAGGGCAGGGAAGAGGGTGGGGCCTCAGAGAAGGGGCGGGGCTAGGTTGTTCAGTTTTGTGCCGTTAGAAAGTTGGCAACCCTACTGGAGAGGTGTAATTTCCAGCTTGGGTAGACGTACATGTCCTAGCTCTGCTTGAGTTAGTGTGCTAAAATAGAAGTGTGGCCATGTGAAGTTTAGTAGTTAGCGCTAGGGTTGCCAGGTGCCCAGTTTTCAACTGGAAAGTCCAGTCAAAAAGGGGACATGGCAGAGTCCGGTCAGATGTACTGACCAGACACCAAAAGTCCAGTTACCACAGGCCAGGGGGGAGAGGGGCATTGGGTTATCAACTTGTGCCAGACCCTGCTCAGCCGAGGCTGCCTCCTACTTGCATATCATGAGCAGGCAGGCAGCAGGCTCCATGTCAGGCTGTAGCTTCAGAGCAGAGCAAGTCCAGCTGCGGGGAGGGGGAGGATCTAGCTATGAGGAAGGGGGAGAACAGCGAGTGATGAGTAAAGAGAGGGAGAGGAGCGAGCGGGTGGCCTGGACGAAGAGGCGGAGCAGGGGGTAGGGCCTTGGGGGAAGAGGTGTGGCAAGGGGGGGTCCAGTTGTCAGCAATGAGAAAGTTGGCAACCCTCGTTAGCACTCTAAAATAGCAATGTGGCAGAGGTGGCAGCTCAGGCTAGCCACCTGAATACGTACCTAGGGTCTCGAACGAGCTTGTACTTGGGAACTAGCCTAAGCTGCTGCAGCCACACTGCTATTTTTAGTATGCTAGCTCAATCAGAGCAAGCATGTATACATCTACCCAGACTGGCAATTATACCTTCCAGCGGTTGTGTAGACATAAAAGGCAGTGTATACCTGGTATACACTGCCTTGTCCACAGGCAGCGAGTTATATGGGCCCGTGGTGCTCGTGTTCCACCAATATTCAGGAAGGTGGGCCCAGCTCCACCAATGTTTGGGCTTATATTTTCAGAGCCATCCCATCAATAGAACGGACCAGGGCAATCGCTCTGGGCTCTGTGCTTTCGGGGGTCCTGCGCTTCAGGGCGATGCAGGGTCCAGGGTGGCCTGGGGGCTAGTGGGGGACTTGGCAGCAGCGAGCGACCCAGTCCTAGCCTGTTCCGCTCAACCCCTCCTCTTCCCGCCCCTGCTCCACCCCCGCCCCGAGTTAAGAAATTATATTATCAATTTAGGCAGTAAACTTTTCAGAGCAAAGGCCAGGTCTTCTTCTGTCTTGTATGCAGCACCAAGAAAAGTGTTGAAGGAAGGAACTCAAGCTTTTTCCAACTCAGAGCATAGTTTTTTCCAACTCAGAGTGTCTTCTAACAACAGTTGTTTAGCCAAATACTCGAGGGCCTAGCACTTGTTGATAATCTTCCAGAACTGTCAGCCTGTTCCTGCACACTCTAGTTTTAGCTAGAGATGTAAACTAGTAGACTGCCTGATAAGGAGCACTGCAGGCTTGTCGCCCAGAAAAGAAATGGCCTGCTTTCTCCTTTTACATCCTCCCCCAACCCTGCACCCCCAAAACCCAAAACAAAGCACAAACACAA